ACACACACACACACACACACACACACACACACACACACACACACACACACACGCTGCACATTTCTTACATCTTGGGAGACCCCCCTTAGACAACCTCTGGATCTCCCATATAAGAACTAGAACTCCATGCAGTGGCACAGGACAATGTCCCCTTCTTCTGAAACTCTTGGGACAGGAACCTGGAAGAAGATCGCTGACCATCTGCAGCCATGTCTATGTGCTTTCTGGTTTCCTAATAACTGAGGGAAAAGCCTGTCTCTTAGTGTCAGCGTCATATGTGGTACTGTGACTGCATTTCAGTAGAGGTTATTTCTCTGTCCTGCAGAAAATGCTAAATAGGAGCTACCCCCTACTTAGGGCTAATTATTCAGCTGGAATATGACATTTCTAAGGTTTTTAGATCAACCATCATCAAATTTTGGCAATGTTGTATGGTTTAGCATAATTAGTACATTCTCAATATATATATATTCTAGTATTGTGCTGTAGTCCCTTATACATGTGAAAATTAGGGTTTTGAGAAGATGAGGAACTTGGATTCAGATCTAGGAACTGGGCTCCAAGGTAACATTCTTAAGCACGGTCAAAACCATTGGAAGCCGGGAGGTGGTGGTGTACCCCTTTAATCCCAGCACTCAGGAGGCAGAGGCAGGTGGATCTCTGTGAGTTCGAGGCTAGCCTGGTCTACAGAGTGAGTTCCAGGGTAGCCAGGGCAGAAAAATCCTATCTTAAAAAAACAAAACAAAACAAAAAAAATTACCATTGGAATTTTTAAAGGGGTGTGTGTGTGTGTGTGTGTGTGTGTGTGTGTGTGTGTGTGTGTGTGTGTTTTAGGAATAGAATGCCTCCTCTTTTGGACTGCAGGTCCTGAGTCACCCAAGGCACCTGTAGTCTGTACTCAGCCCCAATGACCAGGAACTTGTGTGTGCCATAGGCTCTAATCTGATTTGGAGTCCCACCTTCAGGCAGAGGGCAAGCTCAGAGTTCAGGTTTGCAGAGGGGATGCTGTGTTTGTTGGGTAATAAAAGGACGAGGAAACCCTTATGCTTGGGTTTCATTTCTTGTTGTTCTGCAACTTGTCAATCATTATTCAAACGAACCAAAGTCCAAGTAGGGAGAAGAAAGCTCAAGTTCTAGGGCACCTGAGGCCACTCTGGCCATGCTTTGGCGAAGCCAGCTTTACAGAGTGGTATCATTCTTCCTGTTACAGAGGGGAGAATCAGAAGCTGAGAAGGCCAATAACATGCCCAAGGTTCCACAAGGATTATAAAAAAGTGCTTGGGATGGCATTCTGAGTCTTTGGATTCCAAATCATGAGTCCTTGATCTCTTTGATACAGCTGCCTGGAGAGATGCAAGAGGTTGGAGGTCCTTTAAAAGGGGAGTGTGATATAAAGCCAGTCTTTATAGTCTAAAACCATATTGGGATGGCATGGGCCAGCTTTCCCAGGGAGCTCAGTGAGTCACTGGCCACAAAGATGTGGCCCCCTTCTCACCAGCCATACCCCCCTGACCTGACAAGTCCACTTTGGTAGGGTGAAAGCCTCAGCCCACACTTCTGACACTGCAGCTTGTGCTCTGGAATCAGATTGCATGGCTATAAAGTGGGGACGTAGATTAAAAACTGCAAACACTAATGGCAATGGGGCCAGGCAGGCCAAGAACAGGAGACTAACTGGGAAGGAAAAGGCAGTCTTAGAGGATGGGTTATCTGTGCAGAGTGGAGAACCCATCATACAGGTCTCAGAGGATGGGTTATCTGTGCAGAGTGGAGAACCCATCGTACAGGGCCGGGCCTGGTACTTTGACACTCTCTGGTTGTTGCCATGCTACAACAGACTAGGGATGGCAGACCCTAGGTATTCCAAAAGAATGCAAAAACTTGGACTTCAAGCACAGAATGGACAAATGTTCCTGGTTTCTGTACCAAGAAGAAAATGAAGGGCAGAGATACAGACTCAGCTCTCTGCTTCTATCTCTTGGGGCGGAGCTGGCTCCTGCATCCCTGTTCCCATTTGCTGCGGATGGGCAGCAAATGTTCCCGGTAATTGCTAATGACTTCCTTTCTAAGGTCACCGAGCCCTTTTAGCACACTGCTTGGGCTACCCTGTTGGGGGAAGATAATGAGAGCTGGGGAACAGGCTTGTCCTATGGCTCTAAGATTTTAAGTTTCATACGCTTGTGTTAGTGTTGAAAGGATGGACATAAGGAGACAGCACTCAGCTCTGCTCATGTTGGGACTGCGACACAAAAGCAAACTGGGAAAATATAACATCCAAATGGGCAGTGTGGAGGAACCAGTGGACGGAGAGTGGGAATGAGAAAACGGGGGTAGCCACACTAGAGCGACCATTAGAGTCAGGGAGATGCCAGCAGGCTTCTGAGAATTGAACACAGCAGGGGCCAGGAGGCAGGTGGGACTGGGATGCTGACTGCAGGTTCAGGGGAGCTGGGCCGGTGTACCCGAGTCTGCAGTCAGAGCTGGGAGATGGCTGCCATCTGGGAATGCTAGTCTGGTGCTGTCAGAGGTCCTGGAGTCAAGATTTCAAGTACACCAGTAGCCAAAAAAAAAAAGCCTAGTCCACAGCCTGCCAGCCTGTCGCATCTCGCTGAGATTCCATGCTCAGCACACTTGCACGACAAGCTGACTGACTCCCCCAGTCACAGCAGGGCCTATCTCTCCACACGCAGTGACTTCACACACATTTTCCAAGAGTTTTGTTTTCCTCGGTTTGTTTCTGCCATTGCTGGGAGGCAGAGGCTGCTTTAGTGAAGGCCCACAGGAACCATGCCTACCCCCCAGGAGAGAGGCTCCCTAGGGGATCCTTCCTAGGCCTCACGGAAGAGGATGTTCTGGGTGGGGATCACGGCCTCAACTGATTAACAAGGGCTTTCACTGAGTGTTTTCATTTTGTTCTAGCCAAGAGAACATCCAGTGTCTTCCAGGCAGTGGGAAGTGGCCATGGATACCTGCCATCCAGACATGCTCATTAGTAGAAAACAAAAATATACAGATGGACAAGAGAAGAAACTCCAACTCCCACCTCTTGACAGATAAGCACTGAGGACATTTGAATGTGAACAAAACAGAACTGTATCTCCCAAGATAAAGGCGGCCAAGTGATTTCAGGAATGTGAACTGTTCTACAGTTTTTCATACGTGACTCAAGACTCAGGTGAGTAAGTGGGACACATCCTGCTAAGAGATGGTGTAGATAGAGAACAGAGAACACTGTAACCCCATAGTGATTTTTCTCTTAAAAATAAGAAGCTATTACTTATTAAGTGTTTATCAAGTACTGGTCCTTCCTGTGGCCTTCCAATGACTCCAATATCTCCTCCTTCACTTTAGAGGTGGGGATTGGTGAAGATATAGAACTTGCCCAAGATCACAGAGCTAGTAACTGTCAGGGACGGGACAGGGCTAAGTCTGTCTGAATCTGGTGACCTAGTTCAATGTCCTTTATGCTATCTCTTGGAGAAACAATTGGCAGGGGGCAATTCCAGCTGCTGTTTTCTAGAAGGTTATTCCTGACTGTGCCACAGGGACAGATGCAAAATGAAAAAGCAGGGTCGTGTTCAAAACCATTCACCATTTCATGATGAGGACACAGCAGAACAACCAGCCAGCTGTAGAGCCCTTTCAGGCCCTCAGCTACAGCATGCCCTTCAAGTGACCTTGTGCTACTTTCTCTAGCCTATGGGGACTCTGCCTGCTTGTGCTATTCTGTAGAGCCTAAGGACATAGCCAAACAGGGATACTCTGATCTCAAGGAAATTCTTCTCCATGCCCCAGACCTGCCTGCCAGTCCATAAGGATGGTAAAATCATTTCCATTCTATTCACTTTTTTCCCCCCAGCCACTCTGGTCAGGTGTGAAAGACAGCCCCTGCTACAACCATTTCCAACTAGGCATCAATCCGAGACATCCCCGAGAGGAAAGCCTACAGGGTCTTACCACAATCGAAGTCAGATCTTCACTCTCAAAGCGGCTGATGGCCTGGTCCAAGGATTTGTACATGGCAGCAGAAATCCGCTGGGTGATGAGTCTGTTCAAGTCAATTGATCTACCCAACAGCTGAAAGGCAGAGGGTGGTGGTGGGGTTTTACTTAATATCTACACAGATGTCTGACAACTCAATATTGTGTATTGGTAGGAAACTGTACTAGAATTCTAAGGAGCATTACTGGGACAAGGGCTGACTATATGTAGAATGTAGATGGCATCATGAAATCTCTTCAAGTGGTCATTCTATGTAACTTTTCAATCTTTGTGTATATTATATGTGTGTGTGGTATATGTGTAATGGGTATGCATGCTTGTGGGAGTGTGGACATGAGCATGTCACAGCATGAATGTGGAGGTGAGAGGAACCGTGGGTGCTGGTCCTCACCCTGCACTGTGTTTCAGGGCAGGGTCTCTTGCTAGCTGCTTGAGTATGCCAGGCCCTCAATTTTCTGGAGATGTGTCCATCTCTAGTCTTACTGTGACAGTGCTGGAATTATAGATGCAAGTGACTGTATCTGGCTTTGCACTGGGGATCTGAATGCAGGCCCTCACTCCTCTGAGCCATCTCCCCAGACCTTTTGTTTTGATTTTATAAGAGAATGTCTTTGTCCTTAGGTAATACTGGCTGAGATGCGCATGGTGAAATATCCTGACAACTGCAATTACTCATAAAAATTTTAAAGAAAATGTATGTGTAGTAACACATGCGCATCATTTATACACATGATTGCCATAATGTTTGTGAGAGAAGATACACACACGAGAAAGAAAAAACCAAACTCAGTATGGTGAAACACTCATCGCCATGAATCTGGCTAGACTGGAGACAGTTGTGCACCTTCCTGTTCTGACTTCTCTGAAGGCTTTGCATAAAACCCACTGAGGTAAAATACAACTTATTCAGGCTGTGGGAAGAGGCTTGGGGCAAGCGCCGACCTCTGGGGAAGGCTTCTGCTGACACCCTAGATCCAACCCTGAGGTTCATCCTGTGTCTTCCTGTGTTCGATTCAGAGTTTCCAGGGAGCAGCAGCCACCTGAGCAGTGGCCTACTTTGTGTCCTCGTGGGAGCAATTTTAAAAGCAAGCATACAAAGAGCTGATTAAAGGGTGGGAAAATATAGCTTAAGATAATTTCCACTGGGACCCACATGGGTATTATTGCAGATGTTATGAAGACAACAGCAACCATTTACTGAGTACCTGCTGTGTCGCTGTGTTTTGCTAGGTGCTAAGTGATTCCTCTTAAGTATTACCTGTCACAGGATAAATTTCCTACTAACAGATCAAGGTCCCACAGGGGGTCCTGTGGCTGACTCTGGTAGCACTGCAACTGATCACGCTCGTCTACTGAGCCTTGTTTTTTTCTCTCCTGTGACTGGACGCTGGCCATGGATATCCAGGGCTTTCAACAGACTCTTTACTGTTCCTCTCGGCATCTTCTTGGCCTCAGCTCTGTTCCATCACAGAGACGAAGGACCACAAAACCACCACACAGGGATCACGGCACACAGGCTGGTTGGCTACCTGCTTGGCCACCAGCGGAGAGGGTTTGGGGGTCTGTGGTGGTACCTGCTGTGCCTTTCTAGCTCAGATTAGCATTTTACATGGAGATGGGTGTCCTTGTCCCCAGCAAGTGTTTCCCCCAAGTCTGGGGACAAATGTTAACAGAAACCACGGCATAAAAACAAACCAGTTTTGAGCTCTCACTTAGCTTGATGCAGTTCATTTAAAGGGGTTGCAGCCCTTTGTGTGTATTTCAGGGGTGGGTCTACCTGTCTCTGTGTGATGGTGGTGATGAAGAAAGAAATCTGCTCAGGATGGCAGGCCACGGTGGTCACTGCTTCTCAGGGGCTGGCAGAGAGGAGCCAGGAAGTCTACAACCTGCACCAAAGGATGCTCACTACTGTGTGTAAGGTTCTGAGGCTGCTACGTCTGGGTGCAGACCCAAAGCAGACAGGAAAGTCCAGAGTATCTCCAGAGTCTGTTCCTCCCATCCCTCCCCATTATGGCTTTCTCCCACCGTACCTGGACATGTCTCTGTTTTAGCAGCGTCTCATAGCGGTTGGATGGTGGGTATGGAATGATCACTCCGTAATTCTTACATTCAGCTCTAAAACGTTTATCCAACAGGACACTGGAAGGGAGCAACATGAAACAGGTTCACTGAACACAGTGGCAAATGGTTTCTCAACAGCTCAGCCACCTCTATGCCAGACCACGAGGTCCACCCAGGAAACATGATCATAAATATCTCAAACATAACTCTGTCTGCTCTGGATACAATTCCCTGCATTTCTTTCTGGTCATAGGAGGTCATTATGTGAAATGGAATTTCTAAGTTAAAGACTGGCAGCCCAGGGTGGAGACCATCATTCTTTTCTTCACTTATGACAAAAACAACTGAGTGTGTCCTTAGTATATCCCAGTGATAATTCTGGGTACCAGGGACAACAAGGTCCTTCCTGTCCTCAGTATACTGACTTTCCAGTAGATAGATTGATAGAGCAAGCAAAATGATAGAGGAAACAAAATGGTTTGAAATAGGAATCATGTGCACAGTGTTTACCATTGACTAGATAACACATACCTACATACATACATGTATACACACAAACTCATATATATATACATCACATACAGATACAAACACACACACATTCATGCACATGGACACACACACACATGCCCATATATGCATACACATATGGTTATTTTCAGTGTCACAACAATCATGTGTACTATTTTTATCCTCCACATTGAGATCAATAAAACAGGTTCATTTGGAGTTAGGAATTATGGGAAGTCTCTGCATGGGGGTTTTGTGAGACAGAGGCTGAATGGAAATGATAAGGCCAGGGTAAGGTTATTGCACACAAAATAAGCTTCCTCTGTTTGAGAGAAGGAAAGTCAGTTGGGGTGGATAAAGGGAAGAAGGTTTTGGGAAAACAGGTTCATTACATCAGTCTACGAGCCAGATCTTGTGGGACCACAGAACCCTTATGGAGAGGCAGGATGGATAGATAAAGTGGAAGCCATTTAAAGTTTTTTTTGTTTTTTGTTTTGTTTTTTTTTGGTTTTTTGAGACAGGGTTTCTCTCTGTAGCTTTGCGCCTTTCCTGGATCTCACTCTGTAGATCCAGAACTCACAAAGATCTGCCTGGTTCTGCCTCCCAAGTGCTGTGATTAAAGGCGTGCGCCACCACCGCCTGGCTCCCATTTAAAGGTTTTAAGTGGGAAAGAGACATATTTAAACTTGCACTGTAAAAAGTAGCAGCCACCAGCCACAGTGCCTATGGAATGTCTTAAATGAGGCAGGCCCAGACTGAGGCCCACTGCCATATACACACGAGATTTACGAGGCCTTGGAGAAAGCAGAGATATCTCTTTAATAATATTTACACTGATTCCATGTTGAAATTTTAGTGGCTTCTGCTTGTTGAATTAAATAAAACATTATTAAAATGTCAGCTGTTTCTTTCCCTCATTAAAATACGGCTGCTAAAATACCGAAGAGGGCATAGGTTGCTCCCATTTGTGGCAGCGTTTTATTTCAGATGTATGGGATTGGCCTGTGCTACCCTTTCTGCCTAGAGCTTTCTCTCAGTTTTCCAGCTTCTTCCAATTTCCACCCCTTTGAGAAGCTCCCACCTTGCAGGGAACGTTGTTGAGGGCTATTTTCCTTCCTTCCTTCCTTCCTTCCTTCCTTCCTTCCTTCCTTCCTTTCTCTTTTTGTTTTTTTTGAGACAGGGTTTCTCTGTGTAGTTTTGGTGCCTGTCCTGGGTCTTGCTCTGTAGACCAGGCTGGCCTCGAACTCACAGAGCTCCACCTGGCTCTACCTCCCGTGTGCTGGGATTAAAGGTGTGCATCACCACTGCCCAGGTGAGGGCTATTTTTCAAATGGGGATATATATTTTTAAAGATGAATTCTTATCTCTGTGTGTTACACACACACACACACACACACAAACACGCGCGCGCCTGTGAAAGCCAAAACCAGGCAATGGATCAACCTGGAGTTACTGGTAGTTGTGAACTATTTGATGTGGGTACTGGGAATTGAACTCGGGCCCTCTGGAAGACCATCAATAACCACTAAGCCATCTCTCCAGCTCCCAAGATGAGGAGAATTTATTAAGTATAGAGAGTCCTCAAGATGGGACATGCCTGCGCTTGTTTACACAGACAATATCAGCATATTCAGGACCAGCATTGTCTTAGAAATGCTGCCCTCCCTTCTGAAACTGCATCCTACCTGATCTGCCCACACCTATGAAGCAACTACTTAGCGATGTATGTATCTTTGTGCTTTCTCTCTGCTTATCGTTTAGAAGTCATTCCCTTTAGTCAGTGCAGATCCTGTGTAATCACCTCGTGTGCACTGCATATCAGCTCCTATCTGGAATGTGTCAAGCCTGTCAAAGGAGAATGGAACCAATCACTTCCATAGGGGGAAAAAGCAACTGAGCGAGGGCCTTGCTCTTGGGATTGCTGATTAGTCCATCCGGACCTCCATCAGGAACCACAATACTTTCATATAAATGCACTTTGCTTCATGATAGCACCATTGCAAGGTTTTGTTTTGTTTTTTGTTTGTTTGTTTGTTTTTTCGAGACAGGGTTTCTCTGTGTAGCTTTGTGCCTTTCCTGGAACTCGCTTTGTAGACCAGGCTGGCCTCGAACTCACAAAGATCTGCCTGGCTCTGCCTCCCGAGTGCTGGGATTAAAGGTGTGCACTACTATTGGCCGGCAAAATGTCTTTATTTTATGTTTAAGTGTTTAAAGGCACACGCCACCACTGCCTGGCCGCAAGTTTTTTAAAACCCAGGAATTCAATAGGGACAGGGAGCGGGGGTGTGAGTTAAATCAGTATCTTCCAGGAAATACTGACACACCTAAAAACCTGACGCATCTCCAACTCAAACTTCTCCACACGCCCATCCGTACACACTTTAAATACATTCTCTGTGGATTTATATTTTCAAGGAGTGAAGTTGAAAAATAAAAATCAAGTCAAGCTGTGCTTCTGAAACCATTTTGTGGCAGTATATCCCTCTCCGGGACCTTCAAGGTTTATGGTGCCAGGGCACGCTACCCGCCCTCTAGTGGCCTGGATGGGCCACTGCCATGGAGTAACTAAAGCTTCTCAGCTGCCAGGTGAAGGCAAGCAAGCTATTATTTTTGTACTTCCTCCACCAAGGCTTTGGCAAGAAGTTCCCTTTGCCTGCACATTCTGGACCCATCCTTCATTTTGTTTTACTTAACTCCCTAGACACTGCTTCCTTAAGACGGCCTCGACCAGCTCAGGTTTACCATATACTCACGAACTTTCTTCATTACTTTCCTTCTGTTGACTGTAGACCTCATGGAGTATTTGTACACTATCTACCTGTTCTCCTTTACAATGTGTTTCAATGCCTGGACCCATGGAAAGTCCTCGATTTTCCTGAAGTTCTGAACAAGGGAGGAGAGGGAATCCCGTCTTCCAGGCACCAGGCTGATTAAAGGATGCTGCGTACAGCCTAGGCTCCCCTACCTGCCGGCCATGGCTTTGTAGTAGGCGAAGATCTGGTCTGCCAGCTTGTAGACAAACTGATCAAAACACAGGTTCACCTGGTGAAGAGAAAGCAGGGAGGTCAGTGGTTCCTGTCTGGATTAATCGCAGAAACGTGGACAGTTGGGCCGGCTCTAGGGCAGGGTTGACTGAAGTGCATTCTGGGGCAGCAGGCTGGCTTTGACAGAGGTAAAGAAGTACGCATCTGTGGCCATGCAGAGGCCAGGAGTTTGGTCCTTTGCTTTCAGTGTCTTCAGTTAGTTACCGGAAGAGCCCAAGTTCAAAAGGGCCCCAGGAACTAGTCCCCCACTGCTCCCGCCGATTGGTCAGGAAACGCAAAGGAAACCGCCCCCTCTCAGGTCCTGATTACCCCTAGCAGCCCGCTAACCCGAAGACTTTGTCTCCTCCTTGTATTTGATTTTCCTTGCTCTGCAGGGTTAATTTTGAGAATGTCCTTAGAAACAGAAACGTCTCTTTCTTCAAGTTTTCCTTAAAATCTGTCTGGTTTTTAATGTACAAAGTCTTGCACGACAGTGTTTCATGATATCCACAGGAGACTATGAAGTTCGGAGGAAGGGCAAGGTCACACCCGACATGGAACATCAGAGCCACATCTTCCATTAATGACCAGAGAAAAAAGTGGCCGAAGTGGGACTTGAAAGAGACTGGGCTCTGGCAACAGTAGGGCATGAGCCAGAGCGAAAGGAAGGGATCAGTCTTTGATTCCTCTCTATCCAGTCTGTAAGATGATGTCTTTATTTAAAGGTTTCTGTACCTATTGTTTGACACCCACTATATTACACAGAGCAAAACCCACAGTGGGTGCTGTGCATGGTACTGGCTTTACACCCATGGTGCTAGCCTCATACCCAGGTACCGGAGGCCTCCTGCCTGGGCCTCTGAACCTCATGATCTTCTAGAGATAAGGAAGCTACAGGGTCAGAGTAGGAGTGTTCATTTAGACTCCATGTCCCCTTTCTAGAACCAACTCTGAATTCTTGCCTAGATATTCCCAGCCCGTTCCGAGGCCTCAGGGTCTTTTCCAGAGCTCATGGCCTGCCTCTGGAGTAGTTTGATGGCATCATTTGCAAGCCAAAGTGTATATGCATATGAAGGTCCTTGAAACCCCTCATGGTATATAGCATAGACTAGGGATGTGGAGAGAAAGGGGTGGGCCATTGTACACTCTTAGGGGTGACAGCTGCAGCAATCATGAATATTGGTCCCTGGAGTCACTGGCATCCCCCCAGCGGCTAAGCACTGGACAAGCCCAGCATCTTGAGAGACTACAGGAATGAAGGAAGTGCGCGTCACTTGCCTCGGCTTCAATCTCATCATAGAGAAACTGCTTTTTGAACTTGGTGAGAGCATAGTAGGCGCTGTCGTTGTACAGATCCAAGGGGTAGAGGACATACCTGGGAGGGAACACAAATGTCATGGGGGGCAAGTTACACTGGCCTGGAAAACAGGAGGCATGGGCCATGAGGCCGATGGCTTGGAGTTGAAGACAACTTTCCGCCCCTCCCCCTGCTCCCAGTGCCTCCACTTAGGAAGGACTTGCTCTCCAGTCTGCACACAGATATTAGAAGCCCATGATGCTAATGAATCCCCTGGTCAGAAAATAGCCTAGGATAGCACTTCTTGGTTCCTAGAGATTATAATTTCCCCAGCATGGCTGCTATGAGATGAACAAAGGTATGAAAGGCAGGTGGGCTGAGGCCTTGGGGCAGAGTACGATGCCTCATGTCTACTCAGCAGCTTCTACAAAAGAGGTCAGTGGCAAGCCCTCCTCCCACTCAGCCCCAGGAGCTCCCTGGTTGGCCCAATCCTGCCTCTTACTCCATCATGGAAGGCTCTTTGGTTTCCAGGATATGGTCCGTTAGAATCCAGGGCATGGACATCTCAATGGGGAACTGGATTCGCCGGCCCATGGTTAACTCCAGGAAGAATTCTCGGAACCAGAGCTGGGAGAGGTCACAGCACTGCTGTAGGGCTTCTGGAAGTACAGGGAGAGAGCAAGCCTTGGCTTAGGAGAAAGCGCTCACACGTCACAGCGTTTGCTGTCCATTGGCTGTCACTGCTACTGACATCAGTGTGCTAGGTGCATGCATGGCAGGCACGTCATCTTCAGCCCTTCCCTGATCTTGCTGTCTTGAGCCTGAAGCCAGCTTAGTGGCATCTATGGTGAATGGCATCTGCCAGCTTCTGGGACAGGGCAAGTTATGGGGGAGGGGGTGGTGATGTTTCAAACATTGTCTTCCCCCCATTTCCACTACCCCCCCCCCAGAGTCGTCCTACGGAAGTGTGATTTACATACATACAGTGTTTTAAAAACACATCCATCAGTACTCACTTTCAAGGAAGCCTGGTTCCCTCATCTCCTGTGTGTGGTAATTCTGGATCCCTTACTGTTTGGAGGTCTTGAAAGCCCAACTTAGGTCATTCTCTAATGGAGAAGCCTGGACTGTTTTTCACACGTGCACTGGGACTCCCATGCCACTGGGGTCCTACTTGTCTTTACCCTGCTCCATCCAACCTCTCAGAGAAGAGGAAGAAGAGGGCACAGGACTGAGGTGCAGTCTGGAAACCTCCCCAGCTAGGAGCAATGGGTACAACAGAGTTTATATCCATTCTGGCCAACAAAAGGCTGATCCGGCGCACACTGGCTACAGACATGTATTCCTGTATGATTCCCCCTCCTAACTAGCTCCAGGCTGACCCAGTGCACGAATCCTTGTTTGATTGCCCCTCTGTTGTTTGTTGTTTCTTTGGCTCTTCTGTGGGGGCCCGCCACCCAGCTCCCCAATAAATTACACACAGAGGCTTATTCTTACCTATAAATGCCCAGCCTTAGCTTGACTTATTGTCTAGCCAGCTTTCCTTAACCTATCTTGTCTACCTTTTGCCTTTCAGCTTTCTTATTCTCTTACTTCTGTAAATCTTACTCTTACTCTGTGGCTTGCCGGGTGGCTGGGTGGCTGGCCCCTGAACTCCTCCTTCTCTGGCTCCGTGATCTCTTCACTCCATCTCTTGTCTTCTTCTACTTATCCTCTCTGCCTGCCAGCCCCACCCATCCTTTCTCCTGCCTTGCTATGGCCATTCAGCTCTTTATGAGACCATCAGGTGTTTTAGACAGGCACAGGAGCACAGCTTCACAGAGTTAAACAAATGCAACATAAACAAAAGCACCACACCTTAAAACAATATTCTAATACACCCCTCCTAACTAGCCACAGGGTGATCCGGTGCACATTGGGCTACAGATGTGTATTCCTGTACGATCCCCCTTCCTACTAGCCATGACTGTCTACCAGACAAATTCATTTGGTCAGAACGGGTGCGACAGAGCCTGGCCTTTCCTACCTCCCAAGAGGACAGAAAGGTTTTACTTCTTGTTGTTTTTAATGAATTCTTTTGCCCCTGGGAGCGAAATGAGCCTCCCCTGTGGCTCATGATTCCGTCTCTCTACAACTTCCAGCCCTGCCGCCTTGGTTGCCCTGGGAGATGGCTGGCCCCTCTTCTTTCGGAGGCTTACCGCTGATGTTGAGCAAGTGTGTGAAGAAGAAGGACTGCTTGTGGAAGTCCTCTATGGCGAGGACGATGGGTCCATCCAGGCTGCTTCGGAGTGTCTTCTTGGAGCCGCTCTTGTCGGCGATGAGCGACTCCAGCATGGTACGGACCATGTACAGCTTGAAAAGAAGAGGAGAGAAGGTCAGGGTGGCCCTCCATGCTGAGGGAGAAGTTGCCCTCCCTTCCTACCTCCCTTGTTCTTTTTTTCCTACTCTTCGAGAGAACTGCCTTAAGGAAGCACTGATGTAGGCAGAGAACTGGATTTGGAGCTCTGGAAACCTGCTCTCTCCTTGCCGTTCTGGGACCCAGCACATGCCAGGCAAGCATTCCATCACCGAGCTTGCCACCCGCCCTTGCAAAAACCTCCGAGAGGCAGACTAACCAGCTCTGGAGCGTTCTCTGCCTAGGGCCCACAGTGCCCCTAGGTGGATCTGACAATGGCAGGGAGTTAAGGCCCATGAAAGGTTCCTGCCTGCCCTGCTTAACCAAGGGCATGGACATCCATGTCACGCTACAGTCACTCTCTGACTTCCCAGATGACCATGGTAACCGCATGGATGGGGCACTGAACCAGGAATCAAAAGAGCCAGGTTCAAAGCCAGGCACTGCCATTGACTTGCTGTGTGACCTTAGACGACAAAAGCCTCCACTCTGGGCTCCAGTTGCCTGAATCTAACAGGAGGAATTGGACCAGATGAGTTCTCAACCCAGTCTTCTCAGCTCTAGCATTCGGAGGGGTTATGCCACAGACAAAGCTCAAAACAGTACCCCCTCCCCGCCACCACCTGGTTTCTGAGCCTCAGTGTTTTGAACCTGTCAGTGAATGCTGGCGCCCTCTGGTGGCTGGGGCTGCATTTCACAGCCTTCCAAAGATTCTGGGCGGAATGCAAGTTAACATCCATACTTACACAGGGGGGCTACAAGACACTCAGCTGCTGCTGACAGAGTGCCCTACATGCAAAGGGCCCAAGGGCAGCAGGGTTGTTCTTTCTGCTAATCTAGATTTTTTTTTCACACCATTTGTCTTTGAGTCTGAGGATTGGAAAGGGCCTTGAAGCCAGGCTAGTCTGTTCCTGCGGCCTCCCGCAGTAGGCCCCCAAACCAACCCAGCCAGGCGGTGTTATACCAGGGATCGGCAGCCTCTTCGGCCCTGTGTGCCACCAGTGGGGTGAAACAAAGCCCTCGGGGACCACTGGCAGGCCTAAGACATAGATAGGAGAGAAGGAAGAGGGAGTGGGAGGGTAGGAGAGACAGGGAGGAGGGAGAGAGAGAAAGAGAGAGAAAGAGAAAAGCGAGAGGTATTGTATACAGTGGGAAAGCCACCAACAACTGCAGGGGCCACATGTGACACGCTCCTCCGACCTCCCAGCAACCACGCTACGCTCTGCTGCTTCTGGATGGGCCCGAGGGTCTCACCCACCGTGGGCCTGGCAGTCACAGGTCTGCATGCCGTGACACCCTGTGCAGGATCCCCTCCGTGGGGAAGGATGACCACTGTGGCTGGTTTCCTAGACAGTCCACCCTCTATGAACCTGTCAGTAGGCCTGTGCTAATGATGAGTTCCCCCAAAGAAGGGGGGCTGTGGTGACTGGGTTCACACCCAGCTCTAACCACTAGAAAGGTGGGGTTATTCTGAACAGTGTCAGTTCTCTAGCTAACTGTATGAATTCAACAGGCATTTAATCCACCGGGACAGGCTACTGCCCAACTCCATGTGATGCCTACATCTGCTGCCTTCTGAGGGCTGCCATGGAGCCCTGGGGTGGACATCAGGAGACCTGGGTTCTTGTTCCACCTCTACCTGGCACTCATCTTGTGACTTGGACAAGTCACTTCCCCTTTCTGGACCTCAGTTACCCCATCTGTGATGGGGGAGGGGTGAGTTTACCTCTCAGCACTCTTCCAGCTCTGGGGCTGTCTAGGAGTCAACTAAACACATCTGTGCTATATCAGTCTACCCTAGCGGCACCTGGGGGTGGGGTTTAGCTTTTGGTAACTGACCGACTTGCAGTTCTCAAACATCCACAAAGATGCATGCCTCTCTCTTCTGTCTTCTCGGTGTCTCTAACCCCTCCATCTTTCTCTCCTTGCTTCTCTCAGATCTTGTCTTCATCTGCCTCTCAGGACTGAGAGAAATGCCCGAGAGCCATTCAGCCACACCAGGGCACTTGGAGTTAGAAATCTTTCAGAACTGTAAAGGCTTCTCTGGGGTGTCCCACATGCAGAAGACAAAGTCTGTGCACACTGGTCCCTGGAAACTGTGAGGCTAACGGAAGTGGTAAGAACCTTGCCAAACACTCACCTGCCCCTGCTCAGCCCCAGCCCTGCCCAGACACGGACACACACAGAAGGAGGGGGCAGAAAGGGCCTCAGATGGCCCGCTTCGGGTGATCCAGAGCAGAGACGGGCTTGAAAGGTCTTATAAAGAGGAGCTTCCAGCTTGGGGCTTCTGGAGCCTGCAAGACCCTGACGGTTACAGTAAGACGCATCTGTTTTCAAATACCACAGAAAGGAGACCAGGGAATACCTTTTCCTACATTGGCAGTAAGGACTTAACTCCGTGATTCCCTCTTTTTCCCTCCATGTAATTTTAAGACTGCCCTGGAGGAACACAGACATCATTTTATTGAGGAAGTTCCAGCTGGGAACTCAGGGTATTTCTGACAACCAGACTGTCTCTAAGGGGAGGAGGCCTGCCAAGCTTGTGGGTTGTCTCTGAAAAAGGCTGGAAAAATTAGGAAAGTGTTTTGTTGGCAACGTGATCTCATCCAAAGTTTTCGTTTTCAGAAGATAAGCAGAGCTGAGAGATTAAGATGCTTGCCCAGGAACATACAGCTAGTCAGAGGCAGAACTTGTAAGTTTCCATGCCAGGATGCCACTCTAGACAAGGGGGCTGTGGTCACTAAAATACAGACCGATGTGCATGGACTCCATGTTGGACCCCTCCTGCTCTGCAGAATGTGAGCTTTGCAGCACTTGGAGATGGCTGGGTAGGCAGATACGGTGCTGCCCCCACTGCTCAGACTAGACAACTGAGGCACAGAGAGACCGTGTAACATGCCCAAGGTCACACAGGTGTCTAGGACTAGAACCCAGGTCTCCTGAATCTTAGACCAGTAGTCTTCCTTTTACATCAAAACAAGACATCAGGAAAAACCCAGAGCAGCTACTTAGCCCTGCCCTTCCTCACAAGGATCCCCATCCCACTACCCCATGGTACAGCATGTCACCCTTCCTTGGTCCAACTGACCTGGAGTCAGAGAAGCCAGGCTGCCCCAGAACCCCTTACCTGTGTGCTGGATGGTCCCACAGCACGGCGGGGCACCTTGATGTCAAAGCCACCTTTGGGGTCCTTTTCCCCTCTTAAACATGGGTCATTGGGGGGCTCTCGGCCTCCCTCCCAGTCACAGATGGTCTTGCGAATTGCCTGCAGGACACTGGGGAAGGAGGAACAGGGACTTAGCTCAGGTGTCTGCAAGGCTGTTTCCAGGCCCCAGAATGTCTCAGCATCTCCTGCATTAGAGGTCTAAGTGTTTGGGATGCACATTCATTTCTGGACCCACTCAGGGATGCTGTTGTTGGTGTTAAGATGCTTTGAACAAGTGGCTCCTGTGGCTTTGGTGGCCATTGACTACCTAAGAATTCAGCTCTGAGCCATGTGGGGGACAGGAGCCTGCAGGACCTGGGGATGGGGAGAGTAGGAGCAAGCTACAGGAACATCTCATTAGCATCACTAACCACATGGATCAAGTTTTAAAAAGAGCTTATATTTATAGCCTGTTCCCTCTACACCATGTGTGCTGAAGTCTACACATGGATTATCTCATTTCATCATCCCACAGCCATGGATACAGTGGGCACCACGATCCCATTTTACAAACAAGGGACTGACAGTCAGAGAACTCATTTGAATAATTCACTTTTTAGACAGCAGCAGGTTTGCATTCAGGTTCTGCATAGAAGCTTGGCTTATCACAAATGTCTACTGCCAGAGTGTCTCTGTGTTTAAAAGCCATGCTGGAAGCTGACTGAGCTACAAGGCCCTCTTCTTCCAGCCCAGCATCCCTCAGTTCTGCAGTACCCTGAACGGGGCCATCCAAGGACCCACCTGATAAGGACATTCTTTTTCTTGCGCACCGCTTGCCGCAACGGCTCACGTAATGTCACCTGGGCGAAATCCTGCAGGGCCGCATAAATAGTGTTGCGGATGGCCTGGTTGAAGACACTCTCCATCCTTCCCATGAGCACCTGCAGGCCCTTGATCATGGCGATCACCTGGTGGGCATAGAGCAAGTGTCAGCCTAGCTATCCCTTATCACCATCTGCTCACTGAACTTGGCCACGCTGCAGGGAAGGGGGCCACTGGAGGTACCCAGAGTGTGAGGCTAGTGCCTCTAAAACTGTCAGGGGCATGACTAGGTAAGAAATGGTGCCAAGTACTCACAGATCAGAGCTCTGCTCTCTCCATCAGTAGTTATACTAAAGGGGAACTCCCACATACTGTGAGTGGCCATTATGGAAAGAGGATGGGGTTTTCCTGAGAAGCTAGAACTGGAAGTGTCACGTGATTCAGCCATCCTACTTCTGGGTGTAACTGAGGGCAGGGAAACCAGTATGCTAACTGTTGTACTAGTCATCACAGCCAGGACAGGATCCACTGAGGTGGTCACTGGTGGTGAGTAGAGAGAGAAACCGTGGTAGATACAAACAATGCAAGACCACATAGCCACAAAGAAGAAATTCCGCCATATGCATGACAGAACTCACCCAATTAAATCGGGCACAGAACAAAACTTAAAATGAAAAAGAAAGAGGAGCTGGAGAGAGAGAGAGAGAGAGAGAGAGAGAGAGAGAGAGAGAGAGAGAGAGAGAGAGAGATTGATTCAGTTGAAGTGTTTGCATTGCAAGTGTTGATACCCAAGTTCAAACACCAGAACCCACGTAAAAAAATGCAGAGCATGGTGGTGTGCTGATAGTTCCCACATTGGGAGACAGAGCAAGTTGGATTCTTGGGGCTCAACGCCCAGGTAGCCTGGTCTAATTGTCAGAGTTCTGGAAGGCCACAGCAGCCCGTAACGGAGAGGCGACGACTCACGTGTACAGGAGTGGGGTTGGCTAGGGGGGACCATGTCCAGTGCTAGCTACATCACAGGGGGAGAGCTGCGGTTGGCTGGGGGGGACCATGTCCAGGGCTAGCTACGTCACAGGGGGAGAGCTGCGGTTGGCTAGGGGGACCATGTCCAGTGCTAGCTACGTCACAGGGGGAGAGCTGCGGTTGGCTAGGGG